AGCATTACAGACCAACCAAAAAAATTAATGCTTTTACCCAAACTAACCGCATAGATATAATGGTAAGTATCAATTGTCTTTCCGCAAGCTATATTCTCCTATATATATATATATATATACTCTTATAGAAAACCCTCTGATTTAATTAAACGGAGTGACCACTAATTCCATCATGTAACCATCAAATCTCTCCTATTGACCTTATAGACCCTCTGCTTGAATTTTTTCAACATCTCTAAGTAATCATATCAAAGTTGGTTAAATGTCAATTTTAATCCCTCAACTTTAAGATTTTACACAATTTTCATCTCTTAACTTTTTATATACTTTTTTGGTTTTTTAACAATGAAAAATGCATTTTTTTAATTCTTCTATTAGTTAGTCCGTTAACTCTATCAGAATTCGCACATTTTTAATCCTTCAACTTTTAATATATACACATTTTTAGTCTTCAATTTTGAGTTAAGGGATTAAAAATGTATATATTTAAATAAATTTAACAGATTAACTATAAAAGAATTAGAAAAGTGCATTTTTTATTGTTGAGGGACTAAAAAATTGCATAAAAAGATGAGGGATGAAAATTGTGCAAACTTTAAAGTTGAGTGATGAGCTGAATTTATATATATATTAATGTAAAATTTTTACCATGATAGTAGTTATATTTGGATGAATTTTATGAGATTTTAATTGATTTTACATAATTTTTATTTTTTGTGCAAGAAAGAACTTAATTGGAAGAAATCATAATTTTTAAGAGCAAATTGTAAAGATAAAAAAGATGAGGATTAAGTTGTGTGAAGTTCAAAAGTTAAGGACTAGAACTATCATTTTACCATTAATAAAAACTGTTTAGAAGGCTAAAAACCCGACACGGTGATTTCAGTTAACACTTAACAGAAGGTGTCGGTACCTAGTTGAAAGTCTTTACCTCTTATGTGATTTTAAAAAAAATCCATGTTAATTTATTATTTTGAGTGTGGGTCTTACTTTTATTTTAATTAGTTTTTAAAAATCATATAAATACTCATTTAAATTCAAAATTTAGGGAGCCTTTGGA